GATGTCTAGACAAGTTATCAATCGACCAGTTTATATCGTTAAACGTGCTCCTCCATCACAACCGAATCTTCTTCCTGTGAGGAGCCTACCAAATCAAGCGCTGAATCACCAAACTAATGGTGTTGTTGGAACTCAAGCTCCAGGAGGTAAGAATCTATTTCCTGCCATGTTATCTCATATTTGCCCTATTATTGTAGAGCCTTCTGCCGCACAAGCAAGTGGAAGTGCTATTTCTTTGGCAAAATTTCTCAATCACATTTTGACCAGTAGGAAGGCAGCCACTGGTGAACGTGCACAAGTCACACAATTGGTTCAAGACCTTATTGTGAGTCGACTATAGTCGTTGCTTTTCCCTTATTTTTTCCTCCCTCAATGATCTTGACGCATGCTTTTTCTCTTCTCAAGACGGTAAGGTTTCTTGTGATGTCTTCCTTGTCCAATTGTATTCGCACTTGAAAACCTCAGGGAGACAAGATGTGGACAATTTATTCTACACTGGTCTCCCTAAACTTCGAATGAACTTAATTAATGGGACTGCGGCGATTCCTAACATCAGACCTCCTAATCCAAGTGTGCTTGTGGGAGCCTCAACTATAACCACTGCCGCCACAGTGGTGGCAACATCTACAGTGTCGCAAGCTCGACGTGCAATAATTCATACTCCGTCTCAGTCCTCTGCTTCTCACAATCTTCCTCCACCTTCACCTGTTGTTGTGGGTAATCTTCCCCCCAATTCCACTTTTCAACTCTCCACTTCCTCTAAACCTATCCGTCCTGCTCCCTTACGGCCTATCACTCCACGTTTGCATACTTCTCTTTTCTCTCCACGTGCTGCAGTCACCAATTCACCTACTCCTATCCGACTTCTACTGCCAGTGTCTACAATAACTAACACCACTCGTCTACAACTCCGTCATAAGCCTCCTACAAATCACTCCACTGCTCTATTTCGAAGTGAGTCTGGCACAACCCTCATTGCTCCCAATCCTCCTACTATCCTACTACCTCTGGGCACTAAATTGCGTACGCTTATCCCCTCCCCTCTGCCTCCTTCAACTCCCTCTATTACCTCTTCATCAGCAGAACCGGCGCCGAACTCTACTCTCACTCCTCCCGCTTCCTCCTTCTTGTCTCCTCATACTACTGTGTCCTCCACGACAAACGTGTCTTCTTCTTCTTCTTCTTCTTCCAAATCAATGTCCTCACCTCAACCAACTGCTTGCAGTCAACTAGATCAACCTTTCTTCCCTGTCTCTCAGATTCGACTCTTTCTTGCTTCCAAGTTGCCACCTAACGAGGTGGCTTCCCTCACGGAGGATTCGTTGAATTGCATGGCGCATGGCTTAAACACTCTTCTCAGGAGCTTACTCACTCGTATCTCTCTCGTAGCTGGCCATAAGGCGACCAAATTTGCCGATGATCCTCATTTGGAGCAAGTAGATCATGCGAGGGAGCAAATTGGTATTTTACAGAAGATGCATGAGTTCGATCAGGAGAAACGGTGTGAGCTCCAAACGGAGTTTATTCACGAGGCTGCAAAGGCAAGTTGTGTATTTTTTTCACTTAAAATTAATAAAGATGTTAGTAAACTAGGAAATGTGACATTTTGGGCACTGCTGTTGGCGTAATAGTCAATGGGTCAAGGGTTGGTATGCCCGAATACGCATTTCTAACATTTCTGGGAAGGCATTCTTTATTGTAAAATGGTAATGGGTGAAAGAGCGACGTTTGGGGAATTGTTTGGGCAACAGTTTAGGCCTCTATTTTATCTTAATATCAGCAGTTTCAATGGCACACTCGTACTGATAGGAATATTTGATTTGCTTTGTTTTGAAAGTTCCATACACTTGACGTTCTGATATGCTACTACTCGTGTAACGCAATTTACTGCCAGAACTTCAGTACTCATCGGATCACGTTATCTTGAAGAACATGATGAGTAGTGGAGTGAGGATTTTATCAGTGGTTCCAGGTTGCCATTGGTTTATTCATGATGGGTGCTACAAATAAATTGCCTCAATTCTATTTGAAGCTTATTTAATGCCTCGATTTAGATGTTGTTGCACCATGGATCTATCTTATTCACTTGTAATGGCCATGATAGGCTAAGTATCGCAATAAGTGGCTTTGCTTTTGATAATTTAGGTTAGTTCGTCTATTGTGATTATACCGGCCTGAAAGATTTTGGGCCTGAATGATTTTTAGTATGGATCGCCTTACGTTTTCATTCCATGCCTTACATCTGTTTTAGTGCTGAATTATTCCCTCCTTCTTTCTTGTTTCTTCAATTCGGACCTTTTTTTCTCCTTATCACTTAGATCATGTCCCATTCGACTTTGTAACATCAGCTTTCGTTTCTGCGTTCTTTTCATTTCCACGCCATTATTTTACATTTACCTAAACACTTAATAAAAGTTTGCAAGTAACACCTGTGTGATGGTTCGCCCAACCAACTATATTCTTCCCAATTTTAGACTCGAAAACGCAATGGGAATGGGGAAGAGGCCAAAATACGAGAGATGGCAATTCAGTTAAAAAAGGAGAAGGACGAGCGTGAACGTCAAGAGCAGGCCAACTTGACAGCTCTTTCAGCTATTGGCACTTTGCCTAACAAGCGACCCCGTCTCTCGATGAATCTGCCAAGCAGTGAACAAACCATAATCACGACTGGTGGCAATCTCAGCAGCAATCTCAACTCATCTACCAACGCTGCTACAGCTATAAATGAAAATATCATAAATCCTGCCATTTGAAAAAATGACTTTTACTAGATCATATTCGCATAGGCACATTACTTCAATTCAACATTTAAGGTATAATTCTTTGAAATTTATTGTAATAAATACTGGACTAAAATTAACTAAAAAAGAAAAAAATAATCTTAAAGCTAAGGAAACCGCGATTTCAAAATTCTTCACAGAAGTATTTCTAGAACCTTGCGTCAGCTGATTCGTTGATGTGCTAGAAATGCACGGAGCGTATTGAAATTGGAAACGAAAACTAATATCTTCTCGAATTTTTTCATTGATGAAAATTGCGATGCTGCCTTCTTCCATTCCGGTCACTTGAAAAGAAAAATACTGACAATAGTTATGAAATCTCTCATTTCCATTTCTTCGAAACATACCCTCTCCATTATAGCAAGATACTTCAATTTCAATCTTTAACAAACAACTTATCGCTTACCAGTTCAAGCTACCTCAACACCTGCCTGTATCTGTTATTCAGTGCTATATACGACGAACTGAGCCCTGGCCATAACCGAATTAGCCTCGCTTCCAAAATTAACACGACAATGATGTACTTGTTAGCTTATTGACTCGTTAACTGCTACTTAAATTTTTAAGTAAAATAAAATTTAAGACAGGCGATCACCACTTTCCCCGATTGCTCATTCATTGAGATGATAATTCCGGGGATTTGAGAGTGAATAGCACTGCAAGTGTTTTTTATACATTACATCCTGGTTATGGGGTGTGCGATAGACTTACCACCTCGTGGTGCACCCTGGGCAACGTATACTCTTACGGCACAAAAGTCTATTAACCGGCAGTTGACTTCTGGCTTCAAACTACCATCACCCCACTGTTTGTCATATTCGACCCCTTCCACAGTATTCACCTCACCTCTCTTCTACCTTATCTACCTTCGTCTTTGAAAGACTCTTCTGTTCCCCCACATCCTCCTCTCACCTTTTTTTCACTTTGATGTTCATTCTCCTCTGTGAAGCCTGAAGTCAACTAAAGGGCTAATGTTGACCATCAAAACGTCTGCCATTTGATATAATAATAATAATAGCATTCTGGTTACACTTTTTCTTCCTCAATAGTCAATTCCTTTCTTCAAAAATATCGATACATTTTGTGTCGAGTGACTTGCTGATTGGGGTGTCCTCATTTCTCTGCTTTCTATTTAAAGCTTGGAAGAGAGAGTCACTAAAACGAGTGCTCTAATTGAAACAAAAAAGTTTAATCGAATCTCCCTTATGAAGCCTATGAGGTATCGAACATAGTCAATCCCATGAATAATTTTAACTAATATTTTAAAATCAATTTAGGTTTGCCATGATCGAATACATCGTTTTTTGGATTAATTAGCTTTCACCTTAAAATTTGGCACTTTAAGGAAAAAGCGTCTTTGAAATTCCGTGAACTAAATTTCAATTAATTTAACGTGCTCTGCTCTTCCTATTTAATCTACTGGTATTAATCATAAGTGAAGTATTTATATAAATACCAAAATGTTCCACGCCCAATTTCTCACCAACTCATTGGACCTCAGTGTAATTTTTACAAGAATTGAATTCTGGATATCACCATCTTGCTATTTCTCTCACTCTTATCAGGCAATGTAAACACGTACTGACTGAATTAGCAGATTCTAAATGTCATTTACTTCCTGAGAATAATTCGACACATATTGAAACTGAAAATAGTCCCTCACACCAACTCTGTTGGTTTCTTACCTGTAACTGTGACCAAGATGGCCGTCATAACTTGCATGAGACACTAGTTGCACAAGACAACTTCACTTCTCCCCACGACATTTTCAGTTTTATCTCATGTAACAAAATCCACTTAGAACCCCAAGTCCCCTATTTTCACCTAACTACGTTCAGATAGTGATGAATGATAAATTTTTCTGCATTTTGAATGGAGATAGTCAGCTTGCTAACTCGCCTTGAAGACGTACAAAACTGCTGATAGGATCTAGAGGTGCCATCAAGACATCGGTCGTATTTGGGGATATATGTGCGGACGTCTGAGTGCCACCTTACAAATACTTAGTCACATTCTAGAAATTGTGCCTATCGATTAAAACAGAAAAGTAAGCAATGAGAGTTTGTGTGAATATTTATTTATTTATTTTAAATGTCAGGCGTTTTGATAGTTATCATATGTCCTGGAGCTAACTTTGGGCTTTACAGAGGGAAGTTTCATCAAAGTAGCAGAAAGTCGGGGGGGGGGGGGGGGGGGGNGGGGAACAGAAGAGCGATTCAAAGATGTGAAAGAGACAGACAGACACAAAGGCAGAGAATAGGCGAGGTGAGTACTGTGGTAGTGGTCGAATATGATAAACAGTGGGGTGATGGTAGTTTGAAGTGAGAAGTCAACTGCCGGTTAATAGAATTTTTTGCCGTATGAATATACGTTGCCCAGAGCGTACCACGTGGAAGTAAGTCTATCGCGCACCCCGTTTGTGTGAATATTATATATCCGCAATAAAACCCTCTGTGTTTCAGGCAGAAAGGGAAACAAAAGGCATGTTTTGGAGAAAAGTTAGTATAGATAGGGGGTTATGAAGAGCATCAACTCAATCCATGGCCTTTACTATTTCAAAATGTGCTGGTAATCAAGTTTGTAAACGCGACCAGACGTACTCCAGTAGTGGATGATATTGACGAAGAAGTTGGATATCAACTACATTGGGATCGTCAAAATGAGATGCAATCCAATGAGATTTTAGGCGATAAGTTTGTTATCGAACATGAGGACCGCAGTTAGACTTGTTCAGTAGAGTGGAAAAGAAAAGTGGAAAAGTGGATGTTGGAGAGTTGGATGAAGTGAAGCAGTTAACTAAAATTTAACAGAATGAACCCGGAAAAATTCGAGAACTTTCGAAGGGAAGTAACCTTTGGTATCCAGCGATTAAGACATCGTACTCTTAACCTTAAGTTAAGGAATGTTTAAAATCCCCATGAAACTAAATTTTGTACTCAAATCCATTAAGAGTTGAAAGGCAGGAGATTATAGAGGGGTGTGTCTTATTTGGTTAGTTGACAGAGGTTGAGCTTTTGTGATTATTTCAACGCTAGTTTAAGGCGAAGTGAGGAGATACGAAAAGGATGTTTACAAGAGCCGTCTTTGGATCCCAATTTATGTTTGGTTATAAGATTTCCAATTGGAAGTCAAGTAGTTCGGAACTATTAAAATCAGATAAGATTTCGTAACTGAAGATTTTAAAATTCAGAATTGTGGCTGTGATTATATCTTTATTTCTTTTTCTCTTCTTGGTCAAATAGTAATTAGGCACACTGACACCTTCTGTAATCTGCATTTCTAGAAGGCAACGTAGTCAGCAACTACCAATTTGTGCACGAAGAAAAGTAAGCTGTTTTACAAGTGCACAGATGTGATTCAAAAAATTCCAAATGACCGAACTCTATACATTAGTATTGTGAGCTGATGAACTAAATGTAAATGACTTTTGTTTTCTCAACCAGTTGATGCAAAAAAAGTGACTCGA